ATATCTGTCTCTTATACACATCTAGATGTGTATAAGAGACAGATATAATATAATATAACTATAATATAACTATAATAATATAATATATAATATCTGTCTCTTATACACATCTAGATGTGTATAAGAGACAGATATAATATAATATAACTATAATATAACTATAATAATATAATATATAATATCTGTCTCTTATACACATCTAGATGTGTATAAGAGACAGATATAATATAATATAACTATAATATAACTATAATAATATAATATAACTATAATAATGTAATATATAATATAATATAACCATAATAATATAATATATAATATAATATAACTATAATATAACTATAATAATATAATATAACTATAATAATGTAATATATAATATAATATAACCATAATAATATAATATATAATATAATATAAGCATAATAATATAATATATAATATAATATAACTATAATAATATAATATATAATATAATATGACTAGAATAATGTAATATATAATATAATATAAGCATAATAATATAATATATAATATAATATAACTATAATAATATAATATATAATATAATATGACTAGAATAATGTAATATATAATATAATATAAGCATAATAATATAATATATAATATAATATAACTATAATAATATAATATATAATATAATATGACTAGAATAATATAATATATAATATAATATACCTATAACAATATAATATATAATATAATATGACTATAACAATATAATATACAATATAATATAACTACAATAATATAATATACAATATAATATAACTATAATCATATAATATATAATACTACATAACTAACAATAACTATAACTTCCAAATTGTCCATTTCTGTGCACAATTAGGGGGAATTTATTATAGTCGAACGCAACTGTCCCAAAATGAATTTCTCCGAGCAGTTAAATGTTCTTTCCATCTGAAATAAAATTTATCCAGGTCTGGAGGCCGGAACGCAAGGAGCTTACATAACAAATCGTCGACTAACGAGAGTCACGGACTCGCGTTCTCCTAATTTAGTTTGATTCTCTATCTATCCCGACGAAGTTATGCAAGCCTCGCGGGCGATTCGTGGGATCAGAGTTGAGCGAACAGTAACTTCATTCATGATTAACGATTATAACTTGTTGGTATATAAATATAAAATAATTTGTAATGGTTGGGCGGGAAGTAGTTCGATTAATAACAATTATAACTCGTCGGTTATTACAACTAATCTATAATAATCGATCAGAAAGTAATAGGAAAAATGAGAAACAATTACAACTCGTCGCTTATTATAAATTATTACAAATTAGTTACAATAACTAACGCGTTATAATCGTTAAGTAGATCGGTATCACAGTAAAATAAGTCATATCTTGCTCATTATGCGAAACAAGGACTGTTATCATTCACTAACACGTGTATTGTTTACCGACCGAATTCACTGTTCAGATAAATCGCGCTAATTTCATCATTTCTTTCGCGCGGTCTTTTTAACATTTCGGCACGTACGAATTACACATTAAGCCTGTCATTTATGCAATTACGATTCTAATCCTCTGACGTGATATCCGGAGAACCGGGGACCGTTTCGCTGTGCTCTCGGCCGCGTGTGCGTGTTTCGTGCGAGCACGCGCGCGCGGCCGAGTATGCAATGCGGAAAACGTAAACGTTCAAGGACGAGTGCATGGTGTCCCGTTGTAAGACCCGACGCACCACCGAGGCCGCCGAGACTCGTCTCGCTTCCCACCGACCAAGAATTGTCTATTTTTGCCGCGGCGCGACGACGCGCGGGAGAGTTCATTGAAACCGTCGCGGCCGGTACGGTGTTGCTAAAATTTTCAGCAAATAAAACGAAACGAGACCGCGTAACGAAAATAGAGAGCCGGCCACGGGAATGTTCGTTGATACGCGCGGCGTGGCCGTGGGATATCACTCTCCGAAATTACCGGCGTCGAAATTCCGCTCGGCGGATCCGTCGGAGTACGAATAAATTCGCGGAATCTTTGTCTCGCGGTTCGGCAGGTTCGTTTAGAAATTTTTTACCGTTCAACTGGACGAGTTTCGATATTCTTGCTACAAAAAGGTCCTGAAATGTTTAACTCGCAGCTTCGCCACGTTCTTGACATTTTTGCCGATTTAATTCCACAGTGGATTCATACGTTCGGTGATCAGACGGACTTTGGTCGAGGCTAATAGGCTCAGTGAGATAACTATGGACATTTATTCAATGCTTTTGCTATGGGAACTATAGACATTTTTGTATTAGTATAGTATAGTGTAGTTGTGCATTTTTTATTATATTTGTTATTATGTTATATTTTTTTATATTATATTTTTTTATATTATATTTTAGCAACTTGATAGGTGCTCCTTGGATTTATTGATAATTTAAACAGTCAGTAGATTAATACCTTCAGTGATCAGACAAGTTCTTAGCAACTTGGTACGTGCTCATTAAATTTAGTGCTAAATTAATCAGGCAGTAGATCGGTACTTTCAACGATCAGACGCAGCCTAGACTCAGTCCCCTAAATCCATGCAGCATTTTCACCATAAAAATTCCAAAAATCATTTCGTACTGTATTTAAAATTGTATTTAAATCTCCTTTTTCGCTCGGTCACATCTGGACACGATGTGCCGACGAAGAAGCTCGTTATTCCTATTATTATAAATGCATAGACATTTACGATCCGACGATCGTCCAATCGCTCGTTAATTGGCTCCTGTACGCGCAACCTGTCATTAGCATAAAGGTCCATACCGGTGAATAAATTACTTGTTGTTAATCTGTCCGGGACAGATTGCTCGAAACCCGGGGCGGACGAAACGCGGGAAAGAATTCATGAAAGAAATAACCATGAAAATATTATACGTTATATATCCAAGCTACCATGGTGTTTCTTTACGGTCCCAACGGTCGTCCTCGTAAATCAACCTGTGGAACCGGAAGCCCCGGATAACGCTCGACGACGAGACTTCCGCGATAAGCCATGGAACTGCGCGAGCAAACCGGCGAAAAGTTTTCGCGAGACCGCAACAGAAATACTTCGCCGGCTAGTGCAATAATAACCGCAGGAACGGGGTTAATAATTAATTACTTCCATTTTCTGGCCGACAGGCTTCGCTGCCGCGGATTACTCTGACCAGCAGGCTGCTGTGTGTGTGTGAGAGAGAGAGAGAGAGAGAGAGAGAGAGAGAAAGAGAAATCGAGAGATAGATGGAGAAAGAGAAAGAAAGAAAGAGAGAGATAGAGAGAGAGAAATCGGGAGAGAGAGAGAGAGAAATTGGGAGAGAAAGAGAAATCGGGAGAGAGAGAGAAATCGAGAGAGCGAGAAATCGAGAGAGCGAGAAATCGGGAGAGAGAGAGAGAGAAATCGAGAGAGCGAGAAATCGGGAGAGAGAGAGAGAGAAATCGGAAGAGAGAGACAGAGAAATTGAAAGAGAGAGAAAAATCGAAAGAGAGAGAAAAATCGAGAGAGAGAGAAATCGAGAGAGAGAGAAATCGGGAGAGAGAGAAAAATCGAAAGAGAGAGAAAGAGAGAAATCGGGAGAGAGGGAGAAATCGAGAGAGAGAGAGGGCGACAAAGAGGTGATCGATACATCGACGAAACGAAGCGAGAAAGACGGCGATCTCGTCGCGACGGCACACGCATTCCATTATTCGATTCGCTCGCGTTCGTAAAAAATAGTCAGGCTGCGTCGTAGAGCATTGTTCGTGCCTCGCCGGACGCAGTCCGCGAATTATGGCTGTGAGTTAATCGTTCCACGTGTCACGTAGCACTGATAATCTTCGATGTTTATTTTTTTCTCTTTTCGACCAGGTCTCTTTTGCATACATAACAAAGTCAGCAGAAATATACGATTACTTATGGACTAGTCGACGCGCCAGACACTTCTCGCATTTGTCAAACGTTTGTTTGATAATATTAGAACGACCGTAACGCGACCGGCCAGTTTTTTTTTTATTTTACCGAATACTACAAATATTTACAGAGCGCACTGTATCGGTAATTGAGCCGTTTATTTTGAAAGTGGCATAAGTCACTTTACCGTAATGAAAAGCGGTGATTTTTTTAATGTTTATACGAAATTATTTATACCGAGAAAAATATCAGTATCCTGAGATAACGAATACAAGTAAATCTTCTCGAAAGTTAGCATCCATATTTTTAAACGTTGTTAAAACGCAAACCCTTTAATATATCGACTTAAAAACAAAGTGACTTATGCCACTTTCAAAATAAACGGCTCAATTGACGTGCCACTGTCTCGAGATCTGTTTGCTTAGAAATATTGTTTTCGAAGGGAAACAATCGTGTGGAAACGTTCGAACGTGTTCGAACGAGAAATTGGTGATCTTATATCGAAGAAACCGATTTTATATCGAAGGTTTTATATTGCACGCTGCACGGTGAGTACTACGAAGCAGTTCGTCCGTCCCATCGTTTCGTTCCACGCGAATAATGCGAGGAGACCGTTGTGCAAATACGTTTCCCGTTATCTTCGATTAATTATTCAGTGAAAGAAATTGTTTGACTCTTACTGCGTCGACGTATCGCGATGTTATCAATCCGTCCCAATGACGGGTGACCAATTTTTGCATTTACAATTATTCAGATCGCGAAGATACATTTACGTGTCATTTATTCTCAATGTCTTTTGGAAGAATATTTTTCCTCTAATTTTGATAGCACTACCGCTGCTTGCAATTTAAACAAATTCAAATGTCCCTCGTTTCCTCGCTGTTTCGTTCGAGCTTGCAACGAAAATTTTTGTGTTTCATATCGTGTTGAGAAACTATATAAAAATACATTTCACGCGTGTCGAAGGTTTCATTGAAATCGGTTGANAATGAAAAGCGGTGATTTTTTTAATGTTTATACGAAATTATTTATACCGAGAAAAATATCAGTATCCTGAGATAACGAATACAAGTAAATCTTCTCGAAAGTTAGCATCCATATTTTTAAACGTTGTTAAAACGCAAACCCTTTAATATATCGACTTAAAAACAAAGTGACTTATGCCACTTTCAAAATAAACGGCTCAATTGACGTGCCACTGTCTCGAGATCTGTTTGCTTAGAAATATTGTTTTCGAAGGGAAACAATCGTGTGGAAACGTTCGAACGTGTTCGAACGAGAAATTGGTGATCTTATATCGAAGAAACCGATTTTATATCGAAGGTTTTATATTGCACGCTGCACGGTGAGTACTACGAAGCAGTTCGTCCGTCCCATCGTTTCGTTCCACGCGAATAATGCGAGGAGACCGTTGTGCAAATACGTTTCCCGTTATCTTCGATTAATTATTCAGTGAAAGAAATTGTTTGACTCTTACTGCGTCGACGTATCGCGATGTTATCAATCCGTCCCAATGACGGGTGACCAATTTTTGCATTTACAATTATTCAGATCGCGAAGATACATTTACGTGTCATTTATTCTCAATGTCTTTTGGAAGAATATTTTTCCTCTAATTTTGATAGCACTACCGCTGCTTGCAATTTAAACAAATTCAAATGTCCCTCGTTTCCTCGCTGTTTCGTTCGAGCTTGCAACGAAAATTTTTGTGTTTCATATCGTGTTGAGAAACTATATAAAAATACATTTCACGCGTGTCGAAGGTTTCATTGAAATCGGTTGACGCGTATAGTCGAAGCTACAGCCAGTTCTTAGCCATGTACAAATTACATGTACATACATACTTGGTTCCCGTCGAAACTCGCGGGGAAATGCTATTTTCGCGAAATTGAAATTTTAACTGCTCGTAACAACATCGAACCGATTTCGATGAAATTTTCAGCGCGTGCATACGTTACCGGGATGCGCCAAATGCATTCTTGAAATTTTCATTACCGGCACGGATGTAAAAGTGCAGAACGGACTTGTTCCTTTACACGTCTCTTATTCCGGGTAATAGCAAAATTAAAAAAAGAAAGAACCAGTATTTTAGTCGTGGAACAGTCTCTCGAACATTTCCAAAAAAAAGAAAATTCAAGTCACTCAGACCAAATTCAAAAAAGTTACACCGTTTCAAAAGTTGTACTTCCGTTGCTTACTTTTATCACTCGCGGCAAACGTTGCAATAACACTCGCTCAAAATCCGAATAAACGTCCCGTTGTTGCTCTCATAAATCAATATAAAACAGCTGTTTCGGCGCTAGAACTACCAAAGCAGTCAAAACGACTGTTCTCCGATTTCATCTTCCGCAATTCCTGACGTTACAAAAACGTTTCTAAACGAAACCTATACACAAACATCTTCACTTAGGCTTGCATTACCCTCGAAATAGCGCGAAGTTCGAATAAATCCCGTCATCGTTTCAAAACAATGCACAAATTAGCCACGTCTCGGGCTCTGTAGTTCGAGCGCCGAGCAGCAACAACAAAACAGTGCTCCGCAAATCTATTATAAATTCGGCAGAACGCGAGTATCGAACGTGTCAGCAACAGCTACAAACACACTAAACGCACAACGAACGAACGAGCGAGCGAGCGAAAGAGAGAGAGAGAGAGGGCACATGAAATTCGACCAAAATCGATGCAGAATCCCCGGAGACATCGGGACGACCATACTTATCCTCGCATTCCCGCGAGCTCCGCGCGAACCACCGCCTCGTCTCCGACCTAATCGCGTCGCAGAAATTCCTGTTGATCATCGAAACGCCTCCGAAACCGTTCAGCAATCCCGCGGCGAGAACCCGCGGCGGTGTTCCGCCGCGGAAACGAAAAGACGGCTCGCGAAGTCGCGGCGGGATCGCGTCGCGACCACGAATGCCCTTAACCAGAATGAGAAAGTGTGTCGGCACGGAGTGCCGGGACGTCGCGAGGCGGCAGCGAGTGCTTCGAACTGCTCGTTATCTGTCTGTGGAAGTCGTCGTGCCGTCGGTAAACCGCGCGGCAGCGTCGGCGTTTTTTAATGATCCGCCGAACGGCGGAACGGTCTCGGCCGAAAGCGAGAAGTGTCTGGCGCGGTCGGCGTCGTTATCGGAGCAAGAGCTGTAATTTTCGCACTCACGTGAACCGGTGTGGCTCGTTCCGTCGCAGCTAATTAGACGGGGACGGGAGCATCGGGCCTGGCGAACGCACTGGCGGGCTTCGGGAAAGGGCAGACGGGCTCTGCGAGTGGTGCGGCACACAGTTCACACTGACACAGTCACAGGCTCGCGAGATAGACGGAGAACGTGAGAGAGAAATATAGAGAGAAAAATAGAGAGATAGAAAGAGAGTAAGAGAGAGAGAGAGAAAGTATGAGAGAGAGATGAGGCGGGAGACAGCTCACACGCGAATCGGAGCGGGTCGGAGGGAAGCGAAAGAAAGCATCGAAGGGAAAACGAAGGTGGCTGGCGGCCGCGGGTATCGAGCGGGACCCGTGCAACGGTGCATGGTCTCACTTCCGGCTGGCGGGCATCACTTCCGGGATGATTTTCGACTCCCCTGTTTCGCGGATCGGCGCGCGGAGAAAGCCGAGCGGAGAGGAATCGTGCGACGCGTGCATCAGCCGGCACTGTACACGACTGACTAGCTAGACTCTGCTCGCGAGCAGACCCCGCTGCTCTGCGAGAGTTGATAAAGAGAGAGAGAGAGAGAGAGAGAGCGGGAAAGAGAGAGGGAGAGAGGGGGGAAGGGAGATCGACGAATGAACGGGCAGCCGATTTCACGGCAGAACGCCGTGACCGACGCGAAGCGCCAACGGCCGCCACAGGATGAATGAAACGAGCCCGTCGCGAGCACACGTCCTTCGGGGCGCGTGCGTTTTCGCGCGATTCGTCGCGTCGGCCACCGGCGAGGACCAGCCAGCACCGCGGACACGATCGACGAGACCAACGAGGACCACCAGCCCGCCGAGCCAGCCACGGCAACTACCCGCGCTGCGGCGCTGCGGGCTCGCACGGGTCGCGGCCACGAACCGCTCCGATCGGCCACGGAAACGCACGAGGCCTAATGCGAGTACCTCTGACGAACTAGCAGCGAACGCGGGTCCCTTCAACCCTTGGCCACGAGGGGTGCCCGCCTGCTGCCGCCGCAGCCATCGACTGGCCTGCTCGATGCACGATTTTACAATGTCACTTGTCATCGTTGTTTCTTCTGTTGCTGCATGACTGCAATAATTTTTTTCTGACTCTAAAGGGCAACGTTGAACGTCGTGGAAGAGGATAACTCGTTGCTTCGTTTCATTTGGTAAACATTAATTCGTAAAGATACACTCGAGGCGTCGGGAGTAGCTTCGCCGCTTGGCCCGTTTATGCTTGGGAATTTTTTGCCGGCCCAGCTAAGCGTGACAATCTCATGCAAGTCTAGGATACTATTTATAGATGATCGAGACAGGTTCATGAATTTTTGTAGGCTCGCATCGTTGAAACTCGGGGAATGCCGAGCTACGACAGTGACGGCAATGATCGACCGGGCTGTCACCGGCACACGATTTTAAGGATTCTCAACGTGCCGTCGTTGTTTCGGGAGCTAAATGGCTGCAATAATTTTTTCCTCGCTCCGAAGAGAAGTGGCAAACGCTGTGCGAAAGGGCAATTCGTTAGCCGGTTCCATTTGGTCGAGATGAATTCGTAAAGGTACACTTTGGTTTCCGATCGGTTCGCGTGGGTGTTTTCGCATTTTCGTCTGGATCTACCTGCAAATTGTTTTCTAACAATTTAGAAAACACAGCGTTACGAAACGACGCGGGTTTATTTATAGCCTCGGCCGTATTCATGAATTTTTGTAGACCGGTAACGTCGGAACTCTGCTAATTATTCACCCATACATGTCGCTTGAAAAATATTCTGCTGGAGTGACACGACACAAAGTGCGCCTCACACTTTGGAACTTTTTTTTTCTAGGTAACCCAAGCGAAAGAAAATTTCGAAACTATGGGAACTATGTTCACGCATGCTTAAGCGGTGTTCACGAATTTTTTGGCATCGACATCGTTGGAACTCTGGTAATTATGGGCAATTTTCAGCGAGAAATTAAGATATCGGGATACGATAAATTCTCCCCAATTGACGCTCAGATTGCGCACAAAAATGAACAATTTGGGGAGACGAGATACGATTAGTCGAGCCTTGGGTCTCGTTTTTATAGTTACCGATTGTCAACAAGTATAAAAACGAGTCGGAATAATCGTGTCTCTTCTCCCGAAATTGTCCATTTCTGTACAGAATCTGAGCGTCAATTAGGGAGAATTTATTGTGCTTGCAACGTCTTCGACGTGTGGACTATCGTTTATGGTTCACGGCGTTCGTCTTCATTCAACGGGGACGACATCAATGCGTAATGAAAGACACGTGAGTGTAATGCCTCAAGGCATTCCTTGCGATCCAATAATTGGCATCACACATTTATCGTCGGCTACACTGCCGTTACGTCAACAGAAGTATATCATTGGCGACGAAGTAACAGTAGGTCGCGTACGCAGTTAGGAAACGATGCTGGAAGAAATAATACACCGAGAAATATGCGACATAAAACGTTCCATTGCAACGTAAAGGTCAATTTTTAATTACGGACGTCGTTCGAGTATCGATCTCAAGTACTGAGATTTCGACGTGGTCAGCGAATTTTCGAAATTTTCTTCTAAAACGCAATGCCGCGGTGTGTTTTCGAATATTATATCTACCGTGTAGCACACTGAACGACACTTAAAATTCGAAGACAAAAGGTCTCATAAACATGACCAGTGCAGCTATTTTGAAAGACAGCGAAGAAACCGTGTGTTTTTATCGCTACTGGTTTGCATATCTTTCCATACAAATCGAGCGAGGCGACGCTAAGACATTTAAATACGTATAAACAAACTGTGCAACAGCAGATATTAGGAGTCTCTACAAGGTGTCTCGTTTGAAACGTTTCGAACGTTTCTTGTATTTCTCGTAGGACGAGAATATCTAAAGAAATACCACTTACTCCGTTATACGAAAAAATATTTGGAGTACTTCCGGTGGTCGGATTTAAATGAAACTGACGTCATTCGATTCAGAAGGTTTTGTATCATCAGGAAAAAAATATACAGGAACAGAAAATCAATTCTCTGAACCTGAAAATAATTAACAAAATTCGGTGAATCACACACCTCACCTCGCGTTTCGTTAATTTCAAAAAAATATTTGGAGTACTTCTTGTTGTCCAATTGAAATGAAACCAACGTTATTCGATTCAGAAGGCTTTGTGTCATCAGGAAAAAAATATACAGGAACAGAAAATTAATTGTCTGAACTTAAAAATAATTAACAAAATTCAGTAGAGCACACACCTCACCTCGCGTTTCGCTAATTTCAAAAAAATATTTGGAGTACTTTTTGTGGTTCAATTGAAACGAAACCAACGTCACTCTATTAAGCAGACATTGTAGCATCAGGAAAAAATTATACAATGGTTAAACCAGAACCGGGACCGCTCGTTTTATATACACTACCCGGTGCATTGTCTTCGGACTCGGCTTATGAATACTGATTATTCGCAGGCTCGGTGCGACGGACATAATTAAATTATGCTCGTTACAGCGAACGCCATGATCAATCGATCTTTCAGTAAAACGTTCGCCGACGAAAGGAACACGGTCGTGAATTGGTTCGCGACGGCGACGACGACGTGGCAAGGAAATTTATATTAAAGGAGATAACAATGGCGTCCGGAGACACAATGCGACAATCTCCAGCCCCATTCAGTTAGAGTCCGCGCGCCTCGCGGGAGTACCAGCAGGAAAAAGCCCGTCGGGTAAGTAGATTTCAATTCCCGGCCGATACTTTTTCAGCCCGCTGACGAAACTTCCGCCCTCGCCCCGGGTGCTCTTCTTCCGCGGAAAGACACGAACGCTACCCACGAATCGGAACCGAGCGTATCCGGATATTTCCGCGATTTTTCCCCTCATTACGAGAGAGATTTCCTTCGGCCATTCTCTTGTCCATCAACGCCGCAATATGGCGTCATTGGGAAAACTTCGCGGCAAATGTTTCACGCAAATGGAATGCGGCTTATCTTTCGCCGATATTCGGCGCGGCTGAACTTCGGAATTTTTTCCGAACAAACTGAATGAGATAAAATTATGAAACTTCGCAGTCGCATTTACACGCGATTAAGCTATGCTCGCGAATTTTTGTAGGTCGATATTTCCCAAACTTTCATAGTTATGCACCGAGGAATACCAGCTTCGAAATATTCTGTAGAAATTGCGCGACACGGACCTGGCTCTACCTCGGAATTTTTTTCGGTCGAACCGAATAAGTTAAAATTATAAAAATTTACACACTCATTTACACGTAGCCGAGCTATGCTCACGAATTTTTATAGGTCGATACCTCGCAAAGTTTCGCAGCAATGCACCGAGGAATACGAGCTTCGATATATTCTTTCACACACAGACCTGGCTCCACTTTGAAAATTTTTGCGAAAGAACTGGCAATGATAAAATTATGAAACTATACGAGCTGATCTGCTCGTAGTCGAGCTACACCTACGAATTTTTGCAGAACGCTAGCATGAAAGTTCCGGTGATTACGGAGCAAGGACCATCCGGCCTTAAAAACGGGTCTCGGCGAAGCACCCTCGCAGGAAGCTCCTCAATTTCCTTCCTCGAAAACTCGAATCAGAATTCGCCCAGGCGATTTAACTGGCGAATTACAATTCCTGATATCGTGGGAAACGATTAAGCTGTTACGTTGACGAAGATTGATCGTGGAAATTTCTATCTGATCTCTTCTGTGCTGCACGTCCGACCGACTATAATGGAAAATCGTTGTTCTTGTTCGGGTAATTGAAACGCTGCCGTTGAAGTCTGCGGCACAGAGTTGCGGAAATATTCTTCGGGAGTTTCGAGAAAGGATCTGCAAAATGGTCGCCGGAAAAATGATGGCAGGATGAAAATGCCGGCAAGAAAGTAGCCGCGTGCTGAATCCCGAAGAGAAGTGGATTAATTCCGGCACCGATTCGCAGCGGAGTACGTGAATCAAGAGGAAAAACGTCTGCCGCGTAATTCTACTTAATGGCAATCGGAACCGCGACGGTTCTAGCCTGTGGCGACGCAATTAAAATTCATTTTAACGATAATGCATTCACATTCAGACCGGGCCGGGCTAAGTTTGCCCATCTGCTTTCGTGTAACTGCCGCGGCACTCTCCGCCGCCGGATAAAAGACCGAAAATTTCTCGGGCTATCTAATGCATAAATTACTGTACTATCTACCGGGAACAGGTTCCCGAAACCCCGGTAACCAAATATGAAGGACGCGTGCCACCAGACGCCATCGCAAACCACGGCGCGCTGAAGCTTTGCCACATTTTTTAAATTTAAATGCAACCCCGGCGTCGATCCCTCAGGCCACGACACAATGCAGCAGCCCGTTCGTATGCATAAAGCGTCAAAAGTATTATACACCATTATAATTTCAAATTTTTATTTCAACTTCTATTGAAAACCTACTAAAATTTCACCCTCGATTAAAAGTCTATTATAACGCAAATTTATAATGCGAATTCGTTACGGTGCAATCAAATTTCTATTAAAAATCTGTTATAACATTTCTGCTAAGAACCTATTATGATTGAAATTGATAATAAAAATTCACCGATTTAAGATCAACCGATTTAAATTTCTATTCGAAAAATTCATTGTAATTTCTTCACCCTTAATTCTAATTTTAGCCCTGTTTGAAAAGGATGGATGACAATTTTTAAAAAATGTCCCGGACTTTCGGAGCTGTAACAATAAATTAGTTTCCGTTGTTGTGAGACAGTGGAGAGCAGTATTGGATTGACACCGTCTGCCGCGTGTGCGTAATGCAATTAATACGTCGCAGACGTTTAATCCTATTGAGCTGTAACTCAAGTCCTCGACAGGCTCGGTGACATAAATTCTCCGCTGACAATATTTGCATCTGTGGCAACAAGTTCAATATTCGCGCCTTCGTTCGCTTCAGCTAGATGCAATTAGCAAGTGACGTTGTTTAAGTATCTGCCATACTCTAGGTTCTGCGAGTGGCAGAATCGAAACATTTTCACTTAATGGTTTCACTCGTGACCGTAGCTGAATCGTACTTAAAACAGACCTAACGCGTGGTCAGTGATCCACTCTCTCTCTCTGGTGACTAAATTTAACTTAGTCACGACTTAACCTACGGTCAGTGACCTGTTGATGATCAAATATCAAAGTAATCATGACTTGACCCACGGTCAGTGACCCATTCATGACTCAAGTTCAATTTAACTACGATCTAAGACATGGCAAGTGACCAATTGAAACCTAATTTACGGTCACTGATCCACAGATGACTTAACTGTAACGCTAAACGTGCCGAGATCTATAAGGGATTGAATTTATTTAAATATCTCACAATTTTTATAACAATGTGTGTCTGTATAAAGAAATATGTTCATCAATTTGCAATACAAATATCTTTATTTTCTCAATAATTATAAAATGATAAATGTGAAACTGGTCACCTGACCCACAGCAGTGCATTAATTAAAGCAAGACCTAACTAGCGGTCAGTGACCGACCGATGACCAACCTCAGACCTAAAACTCAGTGCAAACATCTTTATAATCCCAATAATTATAAAATAAAAAATTTGATACCAGTCACCTGACCCACGGCGGCACGTTAATTAAAGCAAGACCTAACTCGCGGTCAGTGACCAACCGATGACCAACCTCAGACCTAAAACTCAATGCAAACAGCTTTATAATTCCAATAATTATAAAATAAAAAATTTGATACTAGTCACAAGACCCACAGCGGCACGTTATTAAAGCAAGACCTAACTCGCGGTCAGTGACCGACCGATGACCAAATTCAGACCTAACCAAACTCCAGCTCGCGATCACTGACCCACTGACGAACCTGCCACGTGGTCGGATGTAGCTCAAAATTAGCTGAGACAATTTCCAAGCTAGAACCATGGGCTCGAATCATGTAGCCATCGACGGTTTACTATCCCGTCTGCAATTCCAGCTCCGTGATATCACCAGCGGCGTTCGAGGGTCACGCATGCTGCAACGGTATCATCCACGGCCGCCAATGGGCCGCACATGATTCTGAATAACTCATCCGCACTCGGTTACAGTCGCCACGTGATTACCAGTGCACCGGCAGCGCCATAAACCCGTTTATGCGTCGAGATCAACAGCGATGAATGGGGTTCGCCAATAATCATGCCAGTGATCGCTTGCAGGTCACACGGTCCGTATCGCGGCTCCGTGTGTACGTGCGTCGCTATAAAAATCAAATTGCTTCAAGGACTGCTGACACGATGAAGAATGAGGCTACGATAAATTTTCTGCAAGAATTAAACCACCGGCAGCAGCGCGAGTCGTCCGCAACGAGACTTTCGGAATTTTTTACTCGATGCCTATAAAACATTTTTCTACTTTCCACAGAGTTTTATTCGTGTCTTGATGGACATCATAATTTTTGATATGCTTTGATATACGAGGGTCCACAGACTAGTTATTGTATACGAAAAGACGTTGCCATAGAAAATCATTTTCCTCGCATAACTTTTACATTATACATATAAAGTTGCACATATGTATATTGCATCGTATGTTAGATATTGTATAATATAAGTTTACGTTTACTTATTATACTAAAACTGTATTCCATATATCTATTAGGCTTGATAACAATAGACACTAAAATTGTTATCGAATGAATAAATACTAAAATTTGTATCAAACGAATAAATACTAAAATTTGTATCAAACGAATAAACACTACGATTTTTATCAAACAAATAAATACTAAAACTTTTATCAAACGAATAAATATCAAAATTTTTATCAAATGAATAAATACGAAGATTTTTATCAAATAAATAAATATTGAAACTTTTATCAATTAAACTAATGATGCAGTATTTCAGGGTTTACGGGCTCGATCGATTCGGAGCTCGGCGTATTTGTTCAGAAAATCCGTCTCTGCAGCTGATCGGAAAATTTCGTTTAAACAATTCGAAAAAAAACTGAGAAAATATCGGAGCATGGTAAACGAGCGTCAGAAATTCTCGGCCAGGTTTTCACGCGTTAAATCATCGCGTTCTGCGAGTTTCTCCGCGACAGAATCGGTTCCTGGACCGGAATTCGAGGGTCCGCCGCCTGCGTTCGAGAGACGCATCCTCGGCCGACGATGATCCGGCACGGCGAACCGCGTAATTATTATCGCGGCGTGAGAATAATTATTTTCGGAATTCGCGGCAGCCGCGCGCGAGATATCTGGGAAAGTCTCGCGCTTCCCCGGGGCCGGACGGTGTAACATTTAATTGCATAACGCGTTAGTTACGGCCGCGAGACGTAATTCATACCCCGCTGTCTGCGCTGTTGTAACTCGCAGCGTTAATTAAACGCTTCTGACTGGCCGCGACGCGCGCGCGGGAATGTTTGCAAACGCAATTTCGGTCGCTTTTAACGAACCGTCGGAATTATTTAACGCGGCTTCGAGGCTCTCAGAAATTCGTGTTGTTAGCGCCCGCGATGCTCGCCGGGCTGCTTTATTTCGGCGGAGCAGCTTCGCCGCTTTCGGAATGCACTCGGGCGGAGCTCGATCGAATTCAATGGGGGAAAAGCGGCGCGCACAGCCAACCGATTCGAATCGCCGATTAATCGTTCCGTGGTTCGGCGCGATAGGATACTTTCTGGCCAGCCTCGACGCCTTATCATTGCCGGAATTATAAGGGGGGAGGGGGTGTTAGCAAAGTTAGCAAAGTCGGAGAAGTTCGGCGAAAGATGTAAAGCGTTTTCTTCGGTAAAAGAATAGCGGAACAAATTTAAATCGCAGTCGAATACCTTCTCTATATTAATTTCAAAAAGCATCCTATCTGAAAATAACTTGAAAGCAGTTTTAAAACGAACGAAGTAATTAACTCTCTCATTGCCACGTATGCGGGGTAAAGTGGTCTCGATGTGGGGCAATGAGAGCCTGGAACAAAAATAGGATTTAAAATTCGAGATTAAACGGATCAATTAATTATATCGAATTGTTTAACACGGTTATAGTTTGTCAATGAGAACAGCACTTTGCAACACTTTTAAGTAATCATATTTAATTATATTTTTTTGGCGTTGAGAAATTTTGGTTAAGAAATGCTCCATTTTTTGGTTAATTTCCAGTTAGTTTCAGGCTAGTATTATGTTAGTTTTAAGTTAAGTCACTGCACATTTCGTTCACGCGCGCGCATTTATCCATTAAAATCATTCTTCGGACATTCCAAATCAATATCAACAAAGATATTCATATTCGCAGAAATCGCGAGCATTAATATATAACTTTAAATCGCAGAAATTTTAATTTTATTAATTAACGTTCATACAATAAAAATAGTAACAAGTTGCTATCGCTTAGAACGAACGATTTCTCGTTGATCGATCGTTCGGCGATCGTCAAATAATTGCCGGGAATTTCGCGATTCGCCGGAAGAGACTGTCGCGGTATTTCGAATGTAAATGAGCGTCGAACCGTTGATTACGATTTGAAATTATAATCCGGCGAGAGAAAAAGATCGGCCCGTAACTTCGTCCGCGGTTCGCGGATATATCCGGCAAAACTGCGGGGCCGCGCGGAATTACACGTTACAATCGCGACCGATTACACATCGCGGCGTTACAACGAAACGCGATCCCGGCGGTGTTGCCGATTTCCCTGGCAATTATCTTTCCATCGATTAGCCTGCCCCGCGCGCCGGTTTACATATTTCGATTTAATTAGCCGAACCAGTGCGTTACAACCGGAGAGGATGGATTTCCACCGCCATGGAAATTACAGCGGATAGCTTCGATACGGGGTACCCTCGAACACGGCGAAATTATTCTACGCGATTTTAATTGCGAGCTGGCCGATTACGTTGCCATTCGTCAGCCGTTCGAACCTGCGAGATCGTTAGAAATATTTCAAGCAAATCGTTCTTTTATTTCTACTGTTCTTGCGAATGCTTGCTTCTTCATTACAACAGAAACGTGTGTGTTACTTCGGGAATTTTTTTAGACGCGAATATGCAACGGATTTTTGCAAAAATATTGCATGCGTACTTCCTCAATCTTTATTTAAACAGGGAAGAATAATTTTTGCCTAGAAATTGCAAAATTAGATGGGAAAAGAATTTGTTGTGGCAAGACTTTGCATTGCCTTAGTATTAGCAACTTTAGGAATTTTTATAAACGTAACTACTGGAGGGATTTTTGTGAAAAAAATATATTTCTGTTCCTCGATCTTTATTTAGTTAGGAAAAAATATATATTGTCTAGAAATTTCAAAATTATATAGGAAAAAAATTTGTTTGTTTGCTCAGCATTAGCAGCTTTAGGAATTTTTTAATATGTTACTGCCCGTGGGATTTTTATAAAATAATACAAGCACGTTCATGAACCTTTGTTTAAACAAGAAAAAATGTTCAACCAGAAATTGTAGAATTGGATAAAACATTTTTCTAATGTAGCCTCGGACTCCTTAAGCGTCAGACCTTAAGTCCAACTTGAAAAATTGCTCGAAATGCAACAATCGGAGCTGCGTTTCCAAAAAAAATTCGAACGTGTTCCTCGTGCTTGAATTGAACAGGAAAAAAATAATTTTCATCGGGAACTTAGTCGCGAGACC